GGGGGGGGGGGGGGGGGGGGGGGGAGCTGTTATTTTTGTAGGCTTCTATCAATTCGGTTTTTGTTTGTTTGGTTGGTTTTTTTACTAATTGCAGATAGAAGACAATAAGAAGTCAATATGAAGACAATAAGAAAGGGGAAAACCGTTATCAATAATAGTACTGAGCTGCCAAGAACTTCAGTTACATATGGGCAAATCCTGAAATAGGATTTAACCTTAAGAGACCAATAATTTCCTATGTTATTTCTGTCCCCTTTTATACATTATAAAATAGGATGGTTAAGGCACACTAATTTCTTGAAGTTAACATATCTGACAGCAGAGGTGTATAACCAGGTGCCCATCCACAGCTTAGCTAGCAAAGAGTGGCTTTCAGCAAAATTTGAGAGAGAGGCTCAGACTCACATTTCTGCTGTGATAGCAAGATTCCCTGAAAAGTATTTTGCCACACCATGCAACCCTTCCAATTTAAATGAACAAGCACATATGGAACTTTTCCATGTGCTTCAGGGGCATGGGGGAGGGCGGCACTTTAATTAGAGCAGCTCCAAGAAGCCCCCGCAATTAAAATGCAGCAGCATCTTGTGTATCAGCACCTCCGTGCTTCAGAATGGTGCCAGGGGCATTGAACTAAAGCTCTGATCTAAAGCAATGATCTTTAATTCAGGCACCCTGCCACCATTTTGAAGTATAGGGACACTAATATGTGAGTTGCAGGAGACTGCTGAAGCACAGTAATTACCATGCTCCAGTAGACTCAGTTAATTGAGTCTGCTCTGACATGCTATAATTAAAGTGCATTGGAGCAGTCTCCATGCTTGTATACAGGCACCCACAGACTCAAGTTCAACAGTCCATTCCAGCAGTTTTCCACCATCCTTGTGTTATGCAGTTTAAATGGTCAGGCCTAGTCAGACGCACTTTTGTAACTGTTTTGTGGCAACTGTGTCTTACTAGGCCTGACGAGAATGAATCAGGCTCTTAGAGGAGAAAATGGATAGTCCTGGGGTGAACAGGGTGAAGGTCCCAGGAAGGACAGAGAAAACAAGTCCCAGAGGGGACAGAAGGAAAATGAATAGTTCTATAAAGGACAAAGTAAAGTCAAAGTGAGGACAGAGGGAACTGGGATGTAAATGTAATTAAGATTAATTAATTGCAGGGGTCCTGCAATGCAAACTTTAATGCTGGCACTGCCCGTTTCAATACCCAGGTCTGCAAATATATTAACAAACCAAATGATACATGTCAATAAATTGCCCAATCTGGATCCTAAGAACTAAATAGCTTATTTAGCAGCAAGTGTTATATTTCACATATTTAACTTCTTCTAAAGCACATTTGTCCGTAAATAGTATTTTATTTACCCTGCTGCTTCTTAAGGCATATTGTGTGCATTTAAAAAAAATGAATCCCATTGACTCATGACTTGAAAATCTACCATCATTGTTCCTTGACTTGAACATTCACCTTTTTTCTTCAGGTCAAGATCTTTTTGTCTCATTGCATACTGGTATCTGCCTCATTCTCCATATTTGTTCATTATTCTGTCCTTATTTTGTGTTCTGGCAGGTGAATTAGCTCTCGGTCACACACCAGTCAACAACCCTAATTAGATGGAACCTACGCATAATGTGACAGAATTTATCCTTTTGGGACTTGCTGTCAGTCCAGAGTTAGAACATATGTGTTTTCTGTTGTTTCTATGTTTCTATATCAGTATAATCCTGGGGAATCTCCTCATCACTGTTACCGTAAAGGGCAGCCAAAGCCTAAATTCCCCAATGTATTTCTTCCTAAGCTACCTGTCCTTGGTAGACATATGCTATTCTTCTGTCACAGCCCCAAAACTCATTTCAGACTTCCTTGTTGAGAAGAAAACCATATCTTTCAATAGTTGCATGGGACAGTTGTTCTGGTTTCATTTCTTTGGGTGCACTGAGATTTTCCTCCTCACAGTGATGGCATACGATCGTTATGTTGCAATCTGTAAACCTCTCCATTACATGACCATTATGACACGAAGTGTGTGCAGTTTTCTGGTAGCAGTGTCATGGGTTGGGGGCTTTGTGCATTCCATTATACAGACTCTCCTGACCACCCACCTCCCTTTCTGTGGGCCTAATGAGATTGATCACTATTTCTGTGATGTGCACCCTTTGCTGAAACTGGCTTGTACTGACACCTACATTGTTGGCATCATTGTTGTGGCTAATACAGGAATGATTTCCTTAACCTGTTTTGTTGTGTTAGTTATATCATATATTGTCATCTTAGTCTCCTTGAGAAGACGCACTTCTGAAGGGCGCCTCAAAGCTCTCTCCACTTGTGCCTCCCACATCACTGTAGTGGTTATATTTTTTGGGCCATGTATCTTCATCTACTTACGACCTTCTGCCATCTTCACAGAGGATAAGATGATCGCTGTGTTCTACACCATTATCACCCCTATGCTGAACCCCTTGATTTATACCCTAAGAAATGAAGACGTAAAAAATGCCATGAGAAAAATGTGGATCCGAAAAGTGGACTTAGACAATAAATGAAAATGAATAGGTGTAAAAATAGTACCTTTAAAAACTGATGGGTAAACTAGATTTCACCAGCATTTTAGAGAAAATAAATTGTCATGTTATTGGCTATTAGTTTTGCAGTGGAAACATCACAAAAAAATTCCTAAGAATGCTGCTACTGTGCACCTCTTTGAATAGGAATGCTTTCACTATTTAAATCTGTTGGAAAAGAAAAGACTTTTGTATGTTTTGTTCACTTAATTTGACTAATTTACTATCATTATTATTAGCATCATCATTACAATGGAGTACACTAAGGGTGGCATTCTGTTCTTTCCTGGCTACTTAAGAATGTCACTTGGTCATATACCTTGTTGTCTATGTGCCAGAAATTACATGTATGCACAGGGTGATATTCTACTCCTGGACATGCAGCTCTGAACTCTGTAATTCCCAGCAAAACACTCTTGTTGCTATGCCATAGGTAAGCTATAGCACAGGCCCTTGCCTGATGCACCTTTTGAAGCTGGTATGCAGGAGGTATGCAAGAAGGAGGTATGCAGGACCAAGAGGAAGGGCACAAAGGCAAAGTTATACAGCTCTGTAAAATGGCTGGCGCCCTTAATTTCCCATGAGGCTAAAAGTTCCTCTTTCATTGTCCTCCGTGACTATTAAATGTGAAGGGCAGTGGCTTAGCTTCAAAAACAGTGCTGGAGAAGCAGCTAATTAATAGATAACCTATGGTTAGAGTGCTGTATTGGCACCTCCTCTCAGGGTGTACCTGGATACTCAGATATGTGCTGTCCCTGGACACCTAGGTTAAAACCCCTTTGAATGAAATGGGCCAAAACCCTGGACTCCCAGCTGCCCAGAACAGGACACAG